CCTATCATTTCAACTTTTTCTTTTCATCTCTTTACTATCTAACTCAGAATCTGACAGACTTTTCAGACTTCCAAATTCAGATAGCCTGATATGATATATCTTAGTATCCTTTTTCTTCAGCGATTCTGGCAGCCTGGTTGGTCATATGCTTCTCTATATATCTTTTCATCTGGTTGCATGTCTGCCTATTTCTTATTGGAGTTTCCTGAGCTTTCATCAGTCTATTAGCATTATCGAAGGCTTGTGTTACTCTTTACTTAGAAATTTCCAAGTAGGCTTCTGTCTTCTCAATTTTTTGGTCTTCTACATCTGGTAGTCTTATTGTGGATTTGCACTAAAGTCTTATGTGACACTGGTTATTAACATTCCTCTATGTGCATGTAACAGTACACTTTGCATAGATGCCTTAGGCTCCTAATGACAAGTAGAACCTGATTGGTTGTACTCAAGATTACAGATATCTAAATCCAACTGATTGACAAGAGACAGTTTATCGTAACATAGGTTAATTATCAAATTTTGTTGTAGATAGGATTTGAACCTTAGACTAGTATTACAAATTGAAAATTGATTAATTGTTTAGTTGGATAAATTGGCAACTAATCAATTAATAATTTTTAAAAATGATTAATCAATTGTTTAACTAATCAATTAATCAATTAATCTATTGATTGAATAATCGATTAATTGATTAATCGATTGGTTGAATAATTGATTAATTGATTAATCGATTGGTTGAATAATTGATTAATCAAATAATTAATTGATCGATTAATCGATTGGTTAAATAATCGATTAATCGATTGGTTGAATAATTGATTAATCGATTAGTTAAATAATCGATTGATCAATTGGTTAAATAATTGATTGATCGATTGGTTGAATAATTGATTGATTGATTGGTTGAACTAACCAATTAATTAGTTGGCCCGAAAACTATAATTACAAACCCAATTCTTTTATTATATCATTTAAGAAACTAACTTTATATACTGTACTATTCAAAAAACAATTATTTCAAAAGTTTTATATATATAAATTTTTGAATTTATCTATAATAAATACTAAAAATTCTTAGCATTTATTGTGGTTTGCAAAATTTTGTGACCTTTCTTGATTACTAATATTTATAAAAGAAGAATTTACATATAAAGACTCAAAAAACAAAAATAATTGTATATAAAGGCCAGATAAGAAAAGAATTATGATCAGTATGGGTTATTTAAGATGAAATGTTTTTGGTTAAAGGAATTATCTTTCTTTTCACTATCGCTTGCTTCATAGAAGGCTAGCTTGTTTGTCCCACTCTTTACTCCTGTTAATATACAATTTGTATTAGGCTTCAAGGCTATAATCATAATACAAGAACTCAAGTTTCTAGTTTAATAGATTCTGCAGCTATAGTAACAGTGCAAGAACTCTATATATATATATTTCAGAGCTTCATGACTATGTAGTAGCATAGGAACTTCTACATTAGTAACCTTTGTCATAAAACTAAACCTTTTCTTGTTATGTAAACTCTTCTTCATAAGAATGTTAATGTAGTTTACAATGTTTGGCTCAAGTTGAGAGTCTTTAATTTTGGAAAGATGTAAATGCAATTAAACTAAGGTTTAGATAAGCTTAATTGTTGGTATAGGATAATATTAGGTTTAGTTACATTTTAGTTGTTGAGAATATGAAGCATATGTCAGTAGTGAACAGAATTCCTATATGTTTTTCATCTTTGTTCAATAAAGTCATCTGATCAAACTATAATAATTCATTTTTCAGTCCTTATATATAAATTCCTCATTATAAAATGATCAACCAAATTTAAATTACCACCTAAAAAAATTTTAGGTTGTGATTTACATCATTTATATATTCGAAAAACTTGCTTTTATTATAATTATTGTATAATAATTTATATTGTAATTATTAAATCACATGATCTGAAATTCTTTTGGGTGGTAATTTAACTCAGTTTAAAATGATCATGATTGCAATTGCTAAAGTTGGACAATTTATTATATATTTAACTCAAATTTATGATAAATTGACTAGTCTTAGCAATTGCATTCACAATCACAATTGCAATCATAATTATTTTATAAATATTAGTAATTAAGAGAGTTACAGACTTTTGCAAACTGTAATAAACAATATATTTGATTGAATAGATTGGTTAATTGTTCAAATATATTATGCATTTTAACTCTATTCTATTGATAACAATGTTCAAAATTATAAAATTGTGTTAACATTCTTTGGAAAACTTCTGAAACTAAATAAATGTCTTATGTTTATCTTTTCAACTTCTTCATATTGATAATAGTATCTGAATCCATTTATTATAGTATTAGAGATGCAGTAGAGGCTGTTACAGCTTATACTGTAACCAGTTATACTATAAACTTTAAATAGTTATGATATAAATTATAATAATACATAACAGTTTTTACTGCATCTCTATATAGTGCATAACTCATGAAAAATGCATTATGTTTAATGCATTATATTAGCATTTTCCATTTTTGTAGATCTCAGATAATTAGTAAATACCTTATATTCATTTTTTTTGAACTCTATTAAAAATAAAAAAAAGGACTGCTATTTTAATTTCTTGATTGTTTAGTGAAAAATTGTAATTCATTAATATATCTTTGTAATTAATAAAAAGTATGTTTCAGAATTATAAATATGATTTAATTTATAGTAATTGCTTTTCTCTTTTGAGTTAATGTATAGAGTGAGAGAAATAATGCAGAATCAGGTGAAGCCATGCTTTGAGTATGTGTATTACATAACTCTAAGCATAGTTTTCTATTCATTTATATATATATGTACTCAATTGAAATTTTGTGCACAATTTGTATAATGAAATTTTACTATAAATTTTTGATGAGAAAATGTATATGTATATTTAAAATCATATGCATTAGTCAATCTTTAGCAAAACTTCATGTAATCTGTATTTGAATTCTACAATGAATATACATATACACTCCTAATGATTTCTATATAAATTATTGATAGAAAAAATGTATATATTCAAAAGTAATGCATACTAACCAATCTTTAGTAAAACTTCTTATAATATATTGATTGAATTTTATAACAAATATATTAAAACACACATTAAATATCAAATATTGAATATTATTGAATCAGCAAAATAAGAAGAAAATTTAATATTTCAAGCATTATAACTACACAAATCAATTGTCAAAAATTAACCAAACTGGCTAAGTTTGTTTGACAATAGTTAAATTTCAATTACATGTAATCAAATCTGGTCAGAAATAGGATTCATATGTAAGAGTCCTGCAATTGTCAACACATGTACTATAAACATAGTATAATAAATAACATAATATCATTAAACATTATACTTTTTATATATAACTTTATAATAGCTTATGCCATAGTTAGATAATAGTTGAACTAATTACTATATTAAACTTTGTCAATTATTATAATATTTTTATAGTTAAATCATAGTTTACAATTTGCATGATAGCTAATTTGAGTCTAATATATAGTATATAAATAAAGTTACCAAATACTTTTAAAGAGGGCTTTTAGTTAATTCTTTCTTGTACTAGTTAGACTTGGAGATATTTTCTGGTTTTGTAGATTGCTTTTTACATATTGGATAGGTTTTTTGACTTGTGTACATATATAATAGTATGTTATCTTTGCTATTAAAAATACTTTAATGCTTACAATTCAGTAGTTAAATGGTTAACAATGGAATAAAAACTCTCCCTTGGTCATAACACCAGACACATTATATTTTAGTAATACTCATGATAGTATTTACAGAACTCTATTAGCAATGTTGGCCATTTTAGATTATATACAACTTTATATATATAACCAAGATACTATAATGTAATGGTCATAAGGTTATGGCTTACAATTAACAAACAGGTCATAGCAGATTATAGAACAACATTGATATTTAGTACAAACTAAGACATCTGCAAGACCCTAGTACTCTAGTACAAACTGGTTAAATTAGACATTTGTGCATGCAGAATTTAATTGCCAAAAAAGGCATACATACTGTAATTATAGAATAAATAAAGTGTATATCTTGCTGTTACATAACTAATATGGGTTGTGATCTAAAAAAGTTAGTTATAAATAAATAACAATGTTGTTAATAATTGATAAAAGGTGTAAACTAAATAAAAAAATAATGTCTTGTCTAATGTATGGTTATGAGTAAGACAAACAATTGAAGCAAATCCAAGAATAGATTTAAATGTATGAATAATAACTATTGTCTTGAATTTAGTTTTGTCCAGCCCACTATAACTTATATAATAATTTGTATCAATAAGCATAGAAATAGTTTAATTGACTAAAATTTTAGAGATTATATTATTTAACTTACATGCATATGAATTTAAATATATGATAAAACTGATTTCAACACCTAATATAAAATATTAATGAATACAGAAATGGTCTAATTAACAAAATTTGTTAAAAATAATAATAGTACAGATTTTTAAATATCGATTCTTCTATAAAAATACATCTTGAACTGTAGATTTATATATAACTGATTAGAATTTTCTTCATTATTACAAATATACAAGATATATACAAAAATTCATATAATTTTCTTATCTTAATTTCTGGATTTTGCTCTCTATGGATGAAAATTATAAATTTTCTAGTTACAATTTGACTTCTGGTCTTTTTTATCAATATGATAATAATACTTTTGCCTCACATTCTCAATTATCAATATATTTGGCTAATGAATTTACTGACAATGAAGTTACTAATAATGAATCTAAGAAAATAAAGCTTAATAATAAAAAGGAGTTTACTCAGTCTTTTTTTGACTTTTATGAGCTTCCCGAAGCTTAACCTAAAGACAAATCAATAATCAAGGTTAAATATATAGTTGTAGGCTGTCAAACTGAATATGTATGGCATAGTTTAACAAACAATTTGAATAATCATCTTCATAATGCACACCATATTACAAAAGTATTGCTTAAAAATAAAACAATTGAAGAGCTTAAAAAGCCTTCTTAGCAAATATTAGAAACAGTTTTATTAAAACCTTATCTAGCATCAAGACAAAAAAAGCTTACACAAGATATTATTAAACTTCTTATTTCATGTACACTTCCATTATCTTTAATTGAAAATAAAAGTTTTTATATCTTTTTATACTCTTTTGATCCCTGATATGAACCATATTGTGTAAATACAATTAAAAATAAAATTGCAAATGGAACTCATTACACTATCCAAGCTATCAAACAAATGCTTTATACACAAACCAATACTATATCTCTTAATTTTGATTTATAGATATCTCATGCACATAACTCTTGTTTAGGTGTTATCTGTTATTGGATTACAGAAGAATTTCATATACATGATCTTACGCTAGATATAATTAAAATGGGTGTATATAAAACTGCAAATGATATTGTTGAAACTATTAAGCCAATACTTGAAAAATTTGGTATAGCATAACAACAGATAATGGTTCCAATGTCAAAGCAGCTGTTACACAACTTTTAACAAGGCTTTCAATATCAAAACCAATTGCCAACATTTTTTGTGCTGCATACACATTACAGTTAAGTGTTGAGGCAGGCTTGGAGGTTGCAAATACCTTAATTACAAAATGTAAAATGTTAATTTCACTTATGAGTAAAGAAAAAAAATGAAAACAGTTAAGAGAAGTACAAATCAGAGTTGGTATACTAAAAGCCAATATGGTTGATGTTATATCAGATATAGAAACCAGATGGAACTCTACATATATGGCTCTTAAAAGGCTTGCAAATCTTGAGCGATTAATTAAATGACTAACCAATGATCTTAAAATTCAGACAAAAATGATTATCATCATGATGGTGCTAATATTTGAGATAAATTATTGTCAAATGATGAATTCAAAATTATACAAGCTCTTGTTAATCTTTTAGGTCTGTTTGACAATGCTACAGAAATACTTTCTGAATCAAATTATGCTACATTAAGTATTATAGTACCAATAATAGAAGAATTAGTCTATTGATTAAATAATACAACTTGTGAATTGGATCTTATAAACCATGTAAAAAATACAATTCTAACAAATCTATCAAGCCGATAGTTATCACCACATGAATATAGAATGTATGCATCTTTACTTGATCCTAGATTTAAGAATTTATCCTTTTGTATTGATGTAAGTATTGTTATATATTTATAAAATAATAAGTATAATATATTATTAGGCATAATTAGTACTCTGCAAAATCAAATCAAATCTTGAATTTGGATCAAATATTTGAAATTATTTGATCATATTTTTAATTTGATTAAATAATTTCAAATATTTGGTTCAAGTTCAAAATTTGATTTGATCTTACAAAGTATCAGGCATAAGGCTGAATTTTTGATGTTTTAAATATAAACCTTACAAAAATATATTGATATTCTTTTGTTACAATTTTAACTTAAAATCTTAATATATAATTATGTATTACTTTTGTTATTAGACATTAAAACAAAAAATAATTGGAGATTTGCAGATTCAGTTTAATAATTTAAATAGAAAGACAAATCAAGTAGAAAATAAAAATACGAGTCAACAAAGAGATTCATCACAAGTTGTAAAAAAAACAAACTCAGCAATAAAAAGCTTTTTTTCTTCAATTAGTCTGCAATATGATGAATCCAATGAACAAACAGAGTTTGATAAATACCTTTCACTTCCTGAAATAGATCCAACAGAAGAAAATGATCTATTATATTAGTAAAAACAACAAAAATTTAATTTTCCAGTTCTTTGCATACTTGCAAAAAGGTATCTTGCAATTCCTGCTTCCTCTGTTCCCTCAGAACATTTATTCTCAGATGCAGGAAACTATGTAACTTCCAAGAAAAATCAGGTAGATCCTTATCTTTTGCACTAATTGTTGTTTTTAAAATGAAATTTAAATTATGTAGATATTTTTCTGCCTATTAAATAAATAAGTTTATTAAAGTATTATATAAAATTTTAGCATAACTTGTCTCTTATCATATTGTCATAAAATAATATGCAGAGATAAAATTATGAATTTTAACCTAAACTAAGCTTAATTTTGGTTATTATTCTAATTAAAACCCAGGCACATTATTTCATAACAATACAGTATCTGCTATACAGTAACTTATATATATAAAAATATATTCAAATTAGATATGATATACTGTGACTGTAGAATCATAACCTCAGAAACAAGTGGTGAATATTAATAAAAGTAGCACAGAAGCAGTTTTATAAGAATATTGATCTCTTATTTAAAATAGATTTTTCGATTGTATACATTGTATCTGTTGTATACTTTATATCAGGATATAATAATATCAGCTTGATGAGGGAAATTAGTGAAATCATGGGTATAATTAGTATAATTAGTATAATCAGTATAAGTAGCATAATCATTATAATTAATATATTACAAAGATGTATAATATGTTTTAAATAGAAGAAAGTATATAATAAAGGTGTCTCTTCTCTAGAGAAGATCATTCATGATTCCAATAAATTAATCTTCTAATAATTACATACTTCACCTTACATTATAATTAAATAAACTTACATCCTGATCGATCGCTTAAGTAGTATAAGTGGTACAATCATTGTCCTTGTGTTCTTGCTTATATGATACTTATAAAGCATACTATTATCTATCTGGTTGATTCTCGATGTACTGAGGACTTCTATAGTTACTATTTTCAGCTCTCTTGACATATAGTAGATAGTTGAAGTTGTTGTTTGTTTTAGTTTGAAGCCCAAGTAGAAGGTCCAAGCTGTAGTTTTTCAGTATTGACAGTATTACATACAAGTGAATAGAGAGAGATATAGTTATAGTATAGTAAATACAATAGTTAGTATAATAGTTAATGTAATAGTAAGCCATATCAGAAGGTTCAAGACAAGCAGAAGAATATGTATCTACGACAAGATCTCAGCTCATCCAAATCTAAATGCTTCTATTTGACTTAGGTCACACAATGTCCCAGATTGTCAATACATCTATAAATCTTGAAGATCAACCTATATTTATTTTTGAATGTAGGTTTAAATTAATAATACTATAAATATTCTAAAATTAAGAACAATTATGATATTTTAAAAAAAACATCTTTATAATATTTATAAATTTATTAAACTTAAATTGTTAAATTTGATTTTATAAATTTATCAAACCTAAAATTGTTAAATTTAATCAATATAAATCCTGAATTTAAAAAATGAGTTAATAAAGATTACATATTAACTAGACACTTGAGTTGCTTAAAGAGAGTTAGAAATAATTACAGTATATTATTGCATTAGTGCATTAAGTAAAAGATTTAATTTAGTTTTGACACTGTTTTTCTTGCATACTTTGAATAATCATTTAGCATTTATATTTATATTATTAGCTTAAAAAAGTACAATTGCTTACTGTCTAAATTAAAGCTCATTGATTATTATAATTGTAATAAAAACCTTCTGTTTATAGTTTTAGTACGACTATGTTGCATAGTCACATAATTGGAGTTATAGATAAACATTAATGCATTTGTACAAAAAAGTGTTCATACCAATACTAAATTAAACATATTTTTAGTAATATCAATTTTAAGAGATAATATGACATGTATATTAAATATGATAGATTGTTTTGATACTAGTTTTATAAATATTTGATACCAATTAAGGATTTTTGAGATAATAAGTATAAACATCACAATAATTTAAACATATTTTGCTACTTTGAACTGTAAATTATTCACTGTATTTAAGTTGATCCAGATAAAAAGAACAATGTTATTTGTTATGATGTAAATAATTTATAATCTAATTAACTAGGCATTTTTTACTTAATAAATAGCTTGATCTTGTAATTAGTAGTTACACAATTTGCAAAAGTTTGTAAATTTGTAAATTTTTATAAAAGACGTAATAAACTCTAATTTTAGCATATAATATTAATAAGTTAAAATTAGAGTTTATTACATCTTTTATATAAATTTATATAATAGTAAAGTTTAATATAAAGCTTTGAAAAAAAATTAGAAAATGTAATCATTAATGCATAATTGTTTTTTTTTTAACTATAATAATCAATTAATTAATCGATAGTTGACTATAATCTATTTTTCTTTGATCCAATTTAGAACACTAATGCTACGATAATCTTTTGCTAATAAGCTAATTTATTTTTTTTTTTAGGTTTTGCTTTATTAATTTTGGAATTAGGAATTGAGCTCTACATAAGATAAGTACTGGTTTTCTCTTTGTTTTTTCTTTAGCCTTTATTTTTTTGCTAACTTTTTTTTCTCTTTAGGTTTTGCTTCAGGCTTTTTATATTTCGCTTCATTGGTTTCGAGATTGGAACTCTGCAAAAAAACATTAAAATCTACAAAACATAATTTAGCTTTCATTACATATTTAGAAATGATCAACAAATTCATTTGATTAAGTTTTTGATGATTAGTAATTATTATTTTATCAGTCTAATAAAAACTTCGATGATAAAAAATGAAAATTATCAAATATTTAGCATTGAGACCTTTAAATTATATTGGATCACTGATTTTTGTGGCTAAAAAAATTATTTTTACTATTGTTTGTTATTGCATCTTTGATTTTATAGATATATGTGCTCATTTATTAGTTTTTTTTTTTTTATAAAAAATTTATTTATACCAGGAACAGAGTTTGTACAATGTACAATGTAGAGTATAGTTTACAGGCAAGTAAAGTGGTATATACAAAAATGTTCATCTGATTGGTCATTTTTACCAGAAATAGAGTTTGTACAATGTATAATGAAGTATATAGTTTATAGGCGATTCAGATATGGATGTACAAAATCTTGGATATAATTGGATGATCATTCCTTGTAACTTTGTATAATATCCTGAACAATACTTTAAAAGAAACAAATGCAAAATCTTAGAATTAATTGGTCTGCATGACTTATTCATCATTTAATATTTTAAAAAAAAAAACATAAATAAACATATACATCTGTAAAATCAAAGATGCTATAACAAAGGATAGTAAAAATAAGTTTTTTTAGGCACAAAAATTAGTGTCCCAATATAAATTTAAAGGCCTCAATACTAAATATTTGGTAATTTTCATTTTTTTCATTGAATTTTTTATCAGGCTGATAAAATGATAATCACTGATCATCAAAGACTTAATCGAAAGAATTCATTAATCATTTCTAAATACAGATATGTTTCATAGATTTTTAATGTTTTTTGCAGAGCCTCAGAATTTTGGATCTACAACAGATACCATTAATGTTATACATATATTAAAACTGATGAGGGATTATATCCATTGCAATTGATTCAACATAATAATTGATCATAGGTGAGAAGGATTTATTTTGGATCAGGCACTGTCTCTGCTGTATTTTGGGTCAAATTCATTGAAACTGAGTAATAACTTCATTAATAGATTTTTAGGCTCAGTTACTGAAATTCAAACCAATATTCAGATTGCAAGTACTATTAACTTCTTTTATAAATAGTTATTTTCTTGTTCAGAAATAAATTGTAATGCAATGAAGAATATGGTTTCTTGTGACTGAAATGGTGTCTGCATAGTTTTTTTCTGTTTCTGGTTTCATATAACAATGTTGCACAGCTACTTATTCACATAACATGATATTTTTATATTTAATATGGACTGTTTATCTTTTAGCTTAAGCCAGTTTGATACAACTTTGATTTAGGCCAGAAATGTAGACCACTATTAAATATTAAATTTGATTGAATATACTGTGTATTTATTATTTATTTTCTATAGAAGACAATATGCATACCT